GAAAGAGAGACAACAGACCCCAACATGATCAAGATATTGGAATTAATATAAAGGAAGAAGTGTGAGGAATATATTTGAAAATATTTCAAAAGATGAACCAAAGATGTAACAGACACTAAATTGTTACCATATAATTAGAATCTATAAAAAAGTGCCTAAATGATCATCTAGACCTAATATATACAAGCCATGAAATTTACCTCAATGAATGATGTAAAAGTATAGGAAATGCCATAAGAGAAACAACGTGACCTAGAAGGCAGGTAAGTAGCAAGTGCCCCAGTTCACTCACAATGATGTTGCAGGAGACAGAGAAAGCACAGGCAGGGGCTGTAACAGAAACATGGGACACATTCACAATCGTGATCTCTTTCTCCGGTTGCGGCAACATAGTGATATTTATCGTGAATTCTCAACAAGAGTTACAATTATGAATTAAATATCTGGAGACACGTAGACCTCTTTCTGTCTTACCTGTCAGGCATCTGAGCAATGGAGTTATTATAAACTCTCACCAATATTTCATAAAGCTGTGGTCATGCACAGAAAAAATACCTTCAAGTAACAAAAACAATCAGAGATGATTATGGTATTTTAATCATTTGCCACTTAAGGAAGCTCTTCCTGTCTGGTGCTACCTTTAAGTATTTTTTGCTTGCATGGGGAGGCAGGACAGGATCCAGAGATAATCTGCTGATGGTGGAGAACTTCAAGGAAAATACATTGAGAATATTCACTAGTTATGCTTATAGCTAAGGTTATTATAATAATCTTCAGAGGGAGAGAGCCCTTTTTAACAGCAAGCACCCAGGTGCTAAAATGATGTTTGCAGCATGTGTAAATCAGCTTACCACAGCTTTGCTTGCCCCGTACTGGCACCTTAGAACAGTGGCTTAAAAAAGAACCATCTATTTAAGGAGTGGATCATAAGCTTAAAACAAGAATGCTGTCGCAAAAGTGGTTCAGGCTTAAAGTCAGGAAAATTATTTCCTCCTCCAAATGATACAGGAAATCATTTAAGAAAGCAACTGATCCACTCAGTAAAAAATGGGAAGTCGTATGACTCCAACTTGATTACTGCTGTATTAACCATCCCTTCGCTGGAAGCTCGGACTCTCTTCTACATGTTAATAAATTATTTCTCTTGTCATGTCAATTATAAAAGATGTGTTTCTACACTTCTAAGTTAATGATGAGAAATAGGTTTGAAGTTTCCCAGTCTTCTACTTCTCTGATTGTCTGCAGCTTTTCAAAATTTTTGTTGTCAGTATTCTTTCTAGCACACCTAATCTTGGCTGGCAATTAATTACGCTCTAAGACTAATTCTTTCTCAGGTTTAGTCTTGGATTCCATTTTTTTCTTTTTAATTACCACCACGGGTTGTACATTTCGTGAGTCCTACTGTGCTCTTGAAGGGTCCCGACATTATTAATGCTGATTCTATGAAGAGAACAGCATTCAAGATCCCAAAAGGAAAAATCTCTTCCTGTGAAGAAAAGATTTTATATAATGATGGGAGGTGACTACATAAAATTATTGCAACAGTAAGAGGTCTGATAGTGATAAACACAGAAAAACCAGAAAGGCTCCAAACACTAGGAACACTAGCAATAACCCTTTAAGTGGGACATTCTGAAAAGAATACACTTTAAAATTTGCTGCCAGATTCCAGTCCATAATTAAATTTAGGGATGTCTATATTTATCTTGTTTCATCTTTAAATAATTCATCAATTTTTCTTTGTCCTATTTGGTATCTTATGAAGGTCCCTAATGCCCCTGAGAACCATAGTACTTCCTTCTACGGAAGCCTTATGTCTCTGATCATTGCTTTAATAATTTAAGCCACTATTTACAATCTAGATTATCCATCATTATTGTAAGATCCAACCTACCAACTCACCTAGTAATTTTTTAACTTTTCTCCTTAAGATTCAAGTAGAAGGTAATACCTTAGAAATAGAGACCAGGCTTCACTCGACCTCATTCTCTGTCGCGCCAAATACGGCACCTTAAAAATAACAAGCATTTTTATTTAATTTTTAATTTCATTGAAAATCATTCACACTTATACTTCAGACTGTGCTAATGGGCTCATATTTTAAAACTGGTGTGTATATGTCCAACAAAATGCTTTGTCAGAGACAAGTAATAAAATTATATTGAGAAAGAAATGGAAGTAGCATTTAGTGTCTAGTTTACACCCCAAACACTGAACAGGTCTGTGCCTATGCTGTATCATATAGTTTTTATTAGAAAATTGACAGTATATGGTATTATCTCCTTTCTACATATGGGAGACAAAAGTTCAAAATGGGAAGTGCTTTGCCCAAGGCTGAATGCCTTTGGCAGATCCTGCATATTCTGACTCCAAAGCCTGTATTTCTTTTCACTGTGGAAACTTGTTTCTCAATGTGCAGTTATAGAACGGGGGTGGGGGGAAGGAGAGAAAGAAAGGGAGGAGAGAGGGAGAGGTAGACAGAGGGGAGGGAGACAGAGGGAAGAGAGAGAGGGAAAGAGACAGAAAGAGAGGGAGGGAGGGAGAAAAGGAGGGAGGGAGAGGTGGGGGGAAGAAGGAGAAAGGTAGGGAGGAAAAGGTGGGGGGGAGAAGGAAGTGGGGGAGAGAGTGAGAGGAAAGGAGGGACGGAGGGTGGGAGGGCAGCCTAGAAAATGGAACAGTCTGGAAGGTTCCCCATCAGTATGTGTCTCTTCCACCCCAGCTGGTCTCTGAGAAGACAGGCTGCTGAGAGGGGTCAAGGTGAGCCTCCCAACCCCCACCCAGACTGCTCAGCCTGATACTCGCCGTGGTCTCTGGTGCTCTAAGGTAATCATCACTGACTATTAGGAAAATTATAGTATTTCAGTGAAATTTCTCTGTGACAAGTGAACAAACCAAAAGAGAAAAGAAGGAAAAGAAAATGAAAATGTTCCAATTTGAGAAAAATAAGGCAGTAAGTACCGCATCTGTTATGTCATTTAGGAAGGGAGGAAACGAAAATGATGCCTCTCTCAGATCAGAATTCCTGATCAGGCCACAACTTTGTAACCAGATAGGATGACAGGATTTGATCTTGTAGCATTACCCTTACCTATCAACAGCTTCCAAATATTCTCCCTCTCTTCCTTTCCTCCTTCCCTCCCTCTTTCTTTCTTTCTTTCTTTTCTTTTTCTTTTCTCCTTCTTTCTCTTTCTTTCTTTTTTTTTCTTTCACTGTTTTAATAAATCACATTTTCTGAATCATTAAGAAAACCCCACACATTTTTTCCAAGAGGTTTTTTCATTTGTCTTACACTCCGTTCACTCAACACTCACTATTTTGGGGATCCCAAACCCATTATTTAACTCCTTTCAATCTTTAGTTTTCTCACTTGTAAAACACAAGATACCAACAACAATGACCATGGCAGCGATGATAATACCCCTATCTTACAGAGCTCGGATGAAAATGAAATAAGATGTATTAATCTCCTGGTCCAGGGATGACACTAGTAACTTTTCTATAAATGTATGAGAGAAGGTGGAAAAGTAGAAATAGCCTTAAAATAATTTTTAGATGGATAATTTCAAAAAGCATTGCATAAAGATTTACAGACACCATATGAAGCATGTTAAATATTAATTACTGCTTTATATGGTGTCTGCTTATGACCAAAGACACTAACTGGCAAGGTCTGCAACAAGGGCTTCTAAAATTTTATTTCCACATAGGTTTTGACTATGAGCTCACCATTTCAGTCAAGCTAGACGTAGTTAGCATTGATAGCTGCTTAGAGCTACATTTTTGGACCTAGTTTTGTAAAAGAAAAGACTAATAAAGTCTGAAGAGTAGTCAGTTACAATCATGCTAGAGGGCACTTATTTCCTGGTGAAAAAAAACTCATGCAAAGACCAGTCTAATGAAAACCTAGTCCCAAGGCATTGGGATTGACGGTCATTATGTGTGGTTCTGCACCAGTCAAAGTCAGAAATTATCCACAAGCACATCACACATCTGCAAGGAACAAACAATTTCATATAGCCTCGTGGCTTTATAGGCTTTTTAAAATACCTAATTGCAATAAAGAATGCAGTAAAGATCTTTCTCTCTCTCTCTCTCTCTCTTTTTTTTTTTTTTTTTTTTGGAAACCAATTACACTCTTTTACTATTATCTTATCTAGCAACATAAACTGAACACAATCCTGTGATAACTAAACCAGAATTCCGTATGTGGTAATTACTAACTTTATTTATAAATTCCAGCTAAAGGGAAAAAATGTATATTATTTATCTCTAAGTAAAAGCCATTCCAAGGTAATAGTTCATTTTCCTACTTTAAGATAGGAAGAAAAAAATATTTTTTCTTGGCTTTATCTGTGATACAGAACTTTTACAAACTATATGGAAAGGGATTTGCATGCTAACATAACTCAAACATATTCATCAATAAACATTTATCTGAAGCTTTTACAAGAGGCAGCTGGTAATGGAGAGTCATCCATCTAGCTCTAGAAAGTCGAAATTGACCCAAATTTATCGTCTGGAACCATAAATCCAGCTCTGCCAGTTTGAACGCAATATTCTCTTCTATATTAGGAGTGATCTTTTTTGCGTTCTTTGTTCGGTTTGGTTGGTTTGGTTTCTGCAGCGTATGGTTTAATTTATCGGGTGGTTAGTTCCCATTTGAAGGCAAAAAGGAATACGGCAGGCAAATTTTCCAACACTAAAATCCAGATACAGGGCACAACAAAGTCTAGGAGGACGGTCTCTTGAAATGTTGCAGGTCGAAGTTTGGTGGTAACTGCGCATGACAGGAGTCCTGAGACCTTCGGGAAGCGCTGTCCCTGTAAGTTTGGGATTAGCCCAACTGACACGCAAACGGGAAGGAGACGTTTTGGAGGTGTGGTTGACACACACTGTTTCATTAGTTTATGCAGTAGGATAGAGCAATGTCGTTTCTCTGCACAGTCGGCTAGAGCCCACCGCCAGCTAAGCTCCCATCTGTCCCCACACACTGTCGCACAAGCAAAAGGTGATCTCAGGGGCCCCCGCAGGTAGGCGACAATGCCTCGCCCCTGTGAGTGTCGTCACGCCCAACAGCCTCTTCCAGCCTTGTCAGGGGGACGGCTCACCTTCTGTCCTCTCATACAACACAGGAAACTTTTTTTAATAAGAGAAGATTTTAGGGGCACCTGGGTGGCTCAGTGGGTTAAGCCTCTGCCTTTGGCTCAGGTCATGATCTCAGGGTCCTGGGATCGAGCCCCACATCGGGCTCTCTGCTCAGCAGGGAGCCTGCTTCCCTCTCTCTCTCTGCCAGCCTCTTTGCCTACTTGTGATCTCTCTCTGTCAAATAAATAAATAAAATCTTTAAAAAAAAAAAAGAAAAGTTTTTAAAATCTACCTGTGTGAACAAAAACCACTCTGTAAGTTGTGGTCTCTGGCCAGGATCACCTTGGCAGCTGGAAACACAGACACTGAAAGAGCAGGATGGAAAACTCATCAGGGTTGTGGGCCTTGGTGGCCGTAAGCACCACACACACTGCTTCTCTGCTGAGTCAGACATCGTTCTCCCAGTAACTCAGCGGTACCGGTGCTCTGGTCCTCATCTGAAACATAGGAAAACCCGAGTTCCAGAAACGTGGATGACACCCTCAGAACCAAGCCACTCATGGATGACCGCAGATGCCCCGAGTCATTCTACTTGATATTTACAAGGACTTATTTTCCAGGTAACGAACGGATCTTCACTTTCCTGAGGCACAACAACAGCCAACTTTCCCAGCAGCATTTATTTTACTGAATATGGCGACCTTTGTAGTGTCAATATTCCGTGTATGTGTTTGTCTCTGTTGTAGGCTGAGTCGTGGTCCTCCCCAAAATAGGTTCCAGTCCTAATACCCAGAAGCTGTGCGTATGACTTGTTTAGAAATAGGGTCCTCATGGGTATCATCACATTCAGATGAAATCATACTGGATTAGGGTGGAACCCAATTCAAGGAGGCTTGAGAAAAAGCACGGCCCTACACACACCTTTGCTGTGGACCTCTGGATGCCAGGACGAGGAGAGAATGCATTTCTTGGTTCAGGCTCCTAGTCTGTGGTGTTTTGTCACAACAGTCTCAGGAAACTAATACAGTCTGATTCTGAGCTCTCATTCTACTCACTGCTTTACATATCTCTTTCTGTAACACTATAATTCTTCCTTAATTCCTATGGATTTGTAATAAATCATGATATTTGGAAGGGCAAATTCTACAACTTTGTAATTCTTTGGTCTTTTCTAGCTACCCCTGGTCTTCTGCTCTTCCATATGAATTTCAGGATAAGTTAATGCAGATCTGTGAAAAACCCACTTTAGATTTTGACTGGAATTTAATGAAATTAGAAGACTGATTTAGGAAGTATTCATATATTTAAGATAAAGGGTTTTCTAGCATGAAAGCGAGATGAATCTCCATTCATTCAAATATTCAGTACTGCTTCATAATTTTCCCTGTAAAGATTTTACACATATTTAGTGGGTTTATTACCCGAGCTCTAGAAATATTGTTGAAATTGTGAGTGGGATCTTTGTTACAATTATTTTGGATTAGTCTGTAGCAATCTTATCACCAGCAAAGTCATCGTAATCTCTCCATCTCCTATTTTTAAAATTCTTTTTTTTTCCTTTTCCTTAAAATTTAGTAGACACAGTGGTTGACAATGGTCATCCTTATGTTATTTCTGACTTTAACTGGATGGATCTAAAATGTCCCCATTAATTATGAAGCTTCGTATAGGCTTTAAGAAAAATAAATAAACATGATCTGTTGGACCCATTTCATTTTATTAAGAACTTGTTAAGATTGTCTTTTGAAAATAATGAACATATAAGCAAATCTGTAATTTCCAATCATTCTGGAATTTCTAAAATAAATGTAAAATTCTGTAAGTTTTCTTTATAGGTACAATTTTTTCCATCAGCTCTGGAAAGACTTGCTGGGTGGTAGGGAGACCTAGGATGAAAGGAAACCCCGGAAATGGAAAATTAGCCAGGATGCTCTGTAAGTAAAGTAAATGTGGTTGAGAAGAAGGAGGGCTGGTGTGGCAGCGGGAGGGGTGTGGCAGCGGGAGGGGTGCCGAAGCAGGGAGAAAACAAGGAAATGTTGCAAAGGACATGGAGTTCCGTGACTCACAGGGTGCGGGGCACCAAGGTGGAGGGGTGGTTGACCCAGGAATGGGGACACAGAGGCAGGAGCCGGGAAGGTGGAGAGGCCTGGGGGACGGCTTTTGTGGGGTCTGCCACTGCATAACCAATGGCCCCAAACCTGGTGCCTCCAGACAACAGTGAGTCTTGCGGCTTCCACTGGCCTGAAGACCGAGCAGGGGCGGCTGAGTTCTCTGCTCACCGCGCAAGCACTTGACAAGAAGAAGGAAAAGCACTGCACACTTTCTGTGGCCGGTCTGGTGGTGCCAAGCAAGCCAGAGGCCACCAGGGAGGCAGACAGGCTGGGAGCCTGAGACATGGCTCTGTTGGTTTGTAGGGACAAATGCCAGCATCTCCCCCCAACCCCGCCCTTAGCTTTGCTGCCCAGCACCAGCAGCCTCCACACCGATCATTACATAATAGAGACAAACTATTGATTTTACACTATGTTTTGAATTCTAGTCCAATATCCGGCTCTGTTTGAAGTCAGCCCGCACATTCCCAAAGCCAGGCTGCTCTGTCCGTCCCCAAGCCTGCCCGACCTGTGGCCTCCAGCGTGGCCAGGTGCACAGGTGGGCCATGCCGTCCTTTCCGGGGGCCCAGGCCAAACATCTGAGTGGCCCTCATTTCCTCCCCACTACACTGCCCTTCCTCCCTCCATTCTGTCGTGAACTCTCACTGGGTCAGCCCCAAAGTCCTCTCCCAAAGGCAGGTAAGGCTCTCTAACTGCCTGCTAATACCTGCCCCTCTCGCCTGCATCCCTGGGACAGTCCCGTTTCTGCCCTTCACTCTGGAATGTCCATTCTCCAAACCGCCCCCAGAGCCAGCCTGCTTGCAGGAGCCAGGTCACCACACTCCTGGGCTCCGAACCCTGCGGTGGCACGCAGGGCAGCCACCAAGTGCCACTGACCGAACCCCACACCCATTGCTTTTGGGTCTCTTCGATGGCTTCTCTCCCCCTCCAGCCACACTGGCCTTTATCTGTTCCTACCCTGAGACCCTCGGGAACACTGGTGTCCCACGAGCCAACATTCTCACCCCCTCTGGTCTGTGCTCAGATACCAGCTTCCTGACGAGGACTCACAGGACCGCACTGACAATCGCTCTTGGCTCCCCCCAGTATTCCCAACCCATCTACTCCACTGTACTCTCCTTTTATTTCCCCCAACGCTCATGACTTCCCAGAAAAGTTGCTTATTCATATACTTATATATATTGTTTATTTTATTTTCCTTCCCATCCCCTTTCTCCACAGAAAATACACATTTGCTTCACTGATGTGTTCCAAGTGCCAAGAACTGCATCAGCATACAGCAGGTGCATAATAACTATTTGCTGGGTAAATAAATAAAAGTACTTTGCATATATTACCCCCTGAATTTGTCGGCAACCTAATGGGATAGGCAGTCAGAGTATACATTTTGTAGACACAAAAGCTGAACCCAGAGAGTAAGATATGTTGCCCCCAAAAACACATGGCTACTCTGTCACAAAACAGAAAAGAGGTCCCAACAGGGTCTCTGCCTCTGCTGAGCTCAGAAAGCGCTTCCTACCCCGGCCCAGCGCTCTGAGGAGAGCAACAGAGCGGAAATTTGCAGGAGAGAGGAATTCAGGCGTCCTCTGACTCCTTTCTTTTTAATTTCATCGAAAAACAAATAACAAAGCATCCATGTCTTAGCATCGATAAGCACTCACTGAATGAAGTCGCTGAGTTAATATAAGGGAGGAACACAGGGCTGGGCTTGGAACAGTGCCGGCAAGTGCCTGATCCCGGCCACGCAGATCAACAAGCCTGGGGCTTCCTGCATGCATTAGCAGGTTTATGGCCAACAGGCAATGGGCCAGATGTGGAGACACTGAGATCACAGCACCCCAGAACTACCTGTTTATGGCTTTAAGAAAAAAATAAGAAGAAGAAGATCAAGGTGGCATACCGAATGGGCCAACACAAAGAGCACGATACCGTTTAATGGAAGATAAACAGACATAGGTAGTTCTCCTGTTTCTACATCAATGTGTCGGCTGTCTGTAGACTGCATTGTTAAACACAGAAGTGCTCCCAGTCATGTCGTTGAAAGACAGTGAGGCATCTGCGTCAATATTCTTCTGCGGACCCCACTGCAAGGATAGGAAATACAAAACGTGCTCAGGCCGGAGGCACTTCCCAGAGCTCCCTGAAAGCATCCACATTTTTTCTATTAAAGAGAGAGGAAGTTTTGTTATTATTTGAAAGAGCTAATTTATGAAAAACAGCTGAAATACCTGGTATGGATTTGTATAGCCCGTATTTAATTAGGGTAAAAGTCCGTATTTAATTAGGGCATTGTAAGTTCAGGTGTGTGCAAGTCAAGCCATTGTAAAGATATCATTCATTTCCACACAGGAAATAGTTCCATCAGTTGTTATGTACAGACATTAAACTATCTTCTAACAGGAAATTGTGATAAGTTAATATTCACTAATTTCAGCTGGAGAACATTTTCATCTCTTTCAAGCAAGAAAAAGGGATTTATACAAATCTCCAAATGCCCTGGATCATTAACTTGCTCCCAGCAATACAAAATTCCAAGCTCACCAACAAGAACACTTGTTTTAGAAATCACTCCCTAAGCGCTCTTGCTAGCCAGGAAAAAGCAAGTCACACCTGGGCACGTACCACTGGCTGTGCTCAGTGAGCCTGAAGGAGCCCCCTCCTCCTCCTTCCTTCCAGTAACCCAACAAGAGACAGTCAGAAAGTGATGGAGACCTTGGAGTCCAAAGGGACAGTAGGCTCCCAGCAAGCTCTCAATGCTCCTATCTTAGACCTAAATTCCTAGACTTTCTCAACATGAGGGCACCATTGAAGCATCAAAAATTTTAACAGCTTCTACATAATACCTACATTAATGGCATTTATTGACTGAGAAAATAGATGATAAAGTGTAAGATCATAAAGTGTAATAATGCTGTATGGCTTTATATTTTTTAA